CTTTTGAAATTACATTATGACGCATTCACATACATTATTAATACAAATACATTTTCCAGGGCGAGACGATGAGGCAACCACAAGCACTTCCACTGGTTCAAGAGGTCCACGAGGGAAAAATGCACAATATTACCGTGATTACAGAGCACGGAAACGAGCGGAGCAGGAAAAAGAGTCGTTGAATAGAACTAGTGACGGCTGCTGATTCTTCTACAATTCACGTCGCAGGTTGCGAAATTTAACTTCTTCAGCGCGGAGGGACTCCGCACACTATTTTTTTATTATTATTATTTTGGGGGGGGGGTTCTGTCTGATTTCATAACTTATTTCATAAGCGGATCTAATTCGGTTAGAATATTTAAATCGTTTAGATCAAAATCTGAGAGGATCCCAAAGAGTATTGGAATTTGATGATGAAAAACTTAAGAGGATGCGCGGAAGAATCTCCTTCATTTAAAATGTAGAAAAAGTGAGTTGAGACAAAACTAAGCCACGAAGTTTCAAATACTGAAAAGAAAATAAATGATGAGAAGATAACTTAAGGTCTGGTTTCTTAGGACAAGCACCTTATCTAGGCGTCAGCGGGACGTCCCGCTGACGCCAACAAAATACTGGTTTGTTAGCTCAAGGTCTGGTTTCTTAGAACTAGCGCCTTATATGGGCGTCAGCGGAAAGTTGACGTAGAGCTGACGTGAGCAGTCGGTCCAACTCAGACATTATCTCTCATTGCGCATGCGTTAATAACGTAAACAAATATTTATTTTGAATTTGTATTAATTTTGTTCTGGTCGACCAGTGTTTTAGAGAACAAATAATGACTTTTTCCAAGAAAAAACACATTATAGCTGAGCTAATTGAATAGTGCTATGTTTAATGAAGAAGCTATGTCTAATGTCCAAATCAAAATCTTGGCTGATTTCAATGTGCTGTTGGATGTTGTCCGCCATTGCTTCTGTGGTTAACGTCACGTTGTAATTCAACTGCAATTGAGTTGGACGGCAATTGTAGTTCAAGATGAGCGTCCGATGACGTATAGTATCAAACTCACAAATGGACCAATCAGAGGTTAGCGCTGATTTCCAGCTGACGGCGTCCTGTCCTATCAGAAACCAGGCCTTTAGGATGACCCAACGGAGAAGTTCTCCTTTAATAATTTGTTTGCATTTTAATAGTTTAAAGAATATCTTTTTCAACAATTGCTTACTCTTGGTTTGCCTGAAATTGATCTTTCTTTCTTTTGAATTTTAATTTAGTAATGAAGGATAATTTGCGACTGGTCCTCTTAAGTAATGGAGATGTGTTTATTACCTGATCATCGAGTGGGAGTTCGCAAAACTGAGGAATGTACTTTGCCCAGTCCACGAGTATCAGTAGTTGCTGTTTCATAGATTCACAGACATCAGATATGTTGGCTACTTTCTTTGAAGAAATATCACCGTCAGGTATGTGAGTCATCTGCAATCAACAACATATCTCATATAAGATTACCTTAGAGTGTCCTTTAAATACAGAATCAGACAATTCTTAACAATAGTTCTAAAATTAGTCCGTTGTTTGAGCTTCTTGTTGCAGCGAGCAACGCCCTCTAGTTGAATTGTAAATGCAGTTGTAGTTTGTCGTTCGAAGCATTCGAACCTCTCGTGTGTTCAATGTTTCATTTTGGAATTGTAATTGTTTCGTAATAATAAATTTGTTATTTGTTTATAAAAACCAGCGACCAATTCGTTATTGGATAGTACGTCCGTAATTGCAGGATATTTCTCTCATCGATTTAGCACAAGCTGTTGTTAAATCAAACTATAGAAACGAATTCCATTTTTATCTTCAAATATTTAAAAGAGATAATATCAGCTAGATCTATTTTAATAAAAGATATGTTTTTTTTCTCATCTTCAATTCAATTTTCGATCAACGCGGTAACCTCTCGCATAACGTATTTCGAAATTTACTTGAAACCAGGCGTTTATTTGATTTTTGAATGTTTAAAACTGATTGTTTAAAACTACGATTGCAAGAATTTCATTTCATTCAAATGGATGACATCATCTCCCTTGCCAAAAGAACGAAATAATTCAAAATCTACGGTAATGGAAATTTAAATAACTTATGAACTAAAAAAAGTAATATAAATAGAGAAAAGTTATTTAAGGGGAACCGTTGACACCCCAATGGTGATTAATTAATTTCGGTAGGATAATGGGTGCTGCTTTAATAGATAGAAAACATAACAGTACATCAACCTATTATGGATACTGTAATAATGGGTTTAACGGTTGACCCTTCCCGGGAGGGATTATTTTCGGTGAATCGTTGCATGAATTGTCCTCAAGCAACAGTATCGTGCAAACTGATATTGAATGCTGTAAACCTTTCATTTTGATGTGCTAGAAACTTGCTTAAATTAACGTAAAGACAGGGCAACAAATAATATTTGTCAGAACTAAAATGAATTAAAGATGAGCTGTTCCAATTCAGACTTGTTCTTTGTATTATCAGTTTAAAAAGGTCTTGTTTGTCAGAACTGTGGTAAGATACATACATAGTTATGTCTTTTAAATATCTGATTTCGAAGTTTTAAGAATTCTGTAAATAGTTTATGAGTCTGTGAATAGTTCTGTAAATTGTTAATAAGAAAACAATTTTTCAATAGTTCTAACAAGAAAATGTTGCGTTCGTTGAAAACAAAATACCATATATATTTTACTAGTATTATCTAAAACATTACGTAATTTTAATAAAGAATTTTTTTCTTCGAATAATGAGTGGAAACGGTAATAATAACATTGAATCATTGGTGAAAGATAGAAGCAAGTTCAACGCACTAAATGGCGATTTAAGTAGCTATAGGAAACGAATTTCTGTGTCTTAAAACAAGTTTGAAGTGACTACTTATTTAGATTCGATGCTGAATTAAGTGAGAATACGATAGTCCCTTTATTGAGTATGAAAAATTTAATTACAGACGATATTTCTGTTACGTCAGAAATAAAATTGGCTCCAAGCACCATTTTGAAGACAAAACATGAAGAGATGAATTTCAATGGCTTCTTATGAAATTTTTCGTATTGTCTAAATTGAATTTAACCTCAAGATTCTAACAATGTGCAGCCGTTGAAGATTTCTCGTTTTCTTGATAACGAGTTTATCTATCGTGTTCAAGTCTTAATTTTTGAACGCTCTAAACATGTCGACTGTTTCTTCTTATTTACATTTTTTTGAAGGAAATGAAGTTTTTCGATGGTAAGATGAATACCTTACCTCTTCAGTTTCTTGTGATTATTTATTTAATATTTCGCCTCTTTCGGGTTTCCTCCCAAGGTCATCCACGTGATTCTCAGGTGAGCCGTTCCATTTTTACTTCTCTTATTTTTTTTTATTATTTTTGGTTCGCAGATCTGTTTTATAATTTTTTCTTGTTTATAATTCTCTTCCTTGTTTCGTTTCCTTTTTTAACGTTATTTATTTTCTCGTTTTTTCTTACACCTTTTATGATATGGATTATACTAAGACCAATCGTTTTAAACGTTTACGTATCCAACGAACGAGTTTTCTTAATCATTTGGATTTTTCGTTTAACGCCCAAGCATTTATCAGTTATGTCCAAATCAATTCTCTCCGTGTTGATAGCTCCGAACTTAACTTCATCCGCTGCTATGCAACCATTTTATAGTTGATCCAACTCTTGCAAAACTCACCCAATACTTCCCAGAAAGGAGAAGGCCTCGGCACGGGTTACCATAAACAAGAAATCCTTTAGTAGTCCAAATGTAATGACAAGTTTCGTATTGACCACCACTGCGTAGTTTAGTAGCCCGAACTTAGTGAGATCTTTTTTTATTTTTTATCCACAGCGCAGTTCACATTCGTTACGTCAGACTACTAAATGGATCCGTACTGAGGCCTTTTTTCTTCTAGTTGGTGCTGCTCACACGACCTTTTTCTTATCTTTAAAGCTTACTTTACCGTTTTCTTCTACCGCTTATTATGAAATTTTTAATATTCTCTCCCGTTTTGGTTTTTAGGCCTGATAACAAAATCAAGTTTAATCAAGAAATGGGCTTTTGAGTTTCTGTTTTTTCCCCATTTGAGCGAATAAAGCTTTTACCTGCTTTTAGGTGATATCTTACCGCTTCTGTTTTTTGGGATCATTTATTTAATATATAGGGGAGAGTCGGGTAGCCCCGCTCACTTAAGGAGTATTGCTTATATTTCTGTATAATACTGAGTAATAATCAACATTTTTGTATGTTTCTATTGCTTTATCATCTAATTAAATAATGCAAAAAGAATAAACTAAAAAAAGAATAGTTAAACTTAAAAAAATAGAAATTTAAAAAAACATGTTTTTCAGCTCTTTTCAAAATGTGTCGGGTAGCTCCGCCCAGTTACAAAAATTGTGTTTTTTGGCTATTTTTTCAGGTGTAAATGAAAATGACCAATGTATTGACAATAGGTCAACCTCGTTTATCATTTTTATTACAAAATTATTTTATTTATTACAAATTTATATACTTTTAGTGAATTCTATCATTTAATAACAATCATTTAATAACAACAATATTTGTTGTTAAAAATGCATATAACATTCAAATTTGAAGCAATAAAATAATAATCTTTGCAACCGTACATTTATCGACGAAATAAAATTGGTCATTGATACCCGACATTCATGTGAGCGGGGCTACCCGAAATCCAATTGTTTTGTAAATTTGTAATTACTCGAACAATTTTTCACATATAGACTTCTTTCTTTGTGCAAATTAAACTTAAGACTACATACTTTCATGCTGTATGTATAGAAAAAATTATTTTTTTAGTATTAAAATGAAGTTTAATCGAAACATTCAACCAATTTTTCTTAATTTCATGACTACTGTATTCAACATATTTTCAAAACTATTGTTTACCATGTTACCAGCTGCATAAATACTTGAAACTTTGAAAATAATCTTTTTTAATATAATAATTAATGTCCGATGGCCCATTGACTGGAAAAAATATTCTATACATATGAATTTGAGAGTGGGCGGAGGTACCCGCTGTGTGGGGCTACCCGACTCTCCCCTATATGTAATAGAGTTTTGATGTTTTAATTCAGTACAAAGGTGTGGAGTTATCGAACATATGACGAATACATTGCCAAACCTTTTAAACGCCTTAAAATATCGATTAGTGCTCGATATATCGTCGTAAGGGTCTTAATTTTAAAGTTAAATCCTGACCACTTTTTTTGTTGCAAAACTACTCAATCAATCATTTCATTATATTTTTACATTTTTGAAATTTTCATTCTTTATGCAACCACGTAGATTTTCTCTTCGAATGTATACTAAACTATTTTACTTAATCTATTTTGCTAGTATTTTAATTTAGTTTTTTTTTTTAAATTTAACATTCGTGCAATTTTTTTTTTGAATGAATGAAAGTCAGCTGAAAAGAGAATCTTGTCAGGAAATTATGAACATTTTCCAACTTGAAAATTTTAAAATGACATGTCTCGCAAAACAACTGATTGACCGTGTTAATTAGTTTGCTTTGTTCTTTAAATAGACAAATTTATTTCAATTTTATTTTGACGTCTAAACTTATTCCGTCGCTACCTTTAAGAAAGCTTCTCTTTTAAAATACGATGATGTTGAAAATATTCACTTAAAAAATGTGTTTTAAATATTTTTCAACCTCCTCGTAATTCCCAAGATCTTATTGTAGTATAGTTTGTTATCAGGAAAATGCCTTGTTTAGCCTTATTTTGTTAAACAGCAAATACCAAAAAAAAAATATTTCTTCATCATTTCATACAGTTCTAGCTTTAAGTTTTTATCACTACTAAAATAAGACTGGAGTAAATGGAATAAGAAATATACCTGTCTGGAGTAGATTTCAGCATTTAGAAGGGAACTAAGTGAGATGCCTGAATTGTTCGATGCTTCGTCATAACTTGGACGACGGCAGCTGATTCTATCTCTTTCATTCTGCACAGCTGCAACAGAGGTCAATTGCAGAAACTCTTAATTTGTTGCATTTAAGAAATACTCTGCGGGGAAATTTATTCTCAGACATGTTTGCTCAGAACTAAGGGGAAAAATCAATGAATTTCACACAATCCTTCTCAGTTGCCGAGCAACGGAAAGAATTTGGTTCTATTTCAGATTTTTAGGAGAATTTTTTTTTCTCTTTAGTGTTTCTTTGTTAATTTATACGGCTTAGAGGTTAAACGACAGTCTTTTTAACATTGAGTCAAGCAAACTGACTAATAACTCATTCTTTGAAATTTATAATCAGAAGTATAGTTCGTTCACCAGGGCTTGTCCTTAGGACAAAGAGTTCATTTGAGCGGAGAGGTAAGAGGAGAAGCGTCTTCGCTTGAAATTGAGACAGCGCTTAATGCGCGCCAAATGCAAACAGTTTATTGTTTTTCAGTACCGGCCAATTGGCCGAGCTTTATCAGCGTGCCTGACTGTGAAGGCAATGGTTGCGGGTTCGAATCCCGCTCAGGGCATGGATGCTTCTCTCTCTGTTGTGCGACGTGTGAATGCGGTCCACCCTATAAACAGGTATCTGTGGCATTGTGGCGTGGGTAATGTTGCTCGTCTCCGTAACTTAGGTTCACAGGTGCCCAACGGGTAACGTTAAATGAGCAACACTTACCACATCTTCCGAGGTGTGCCTGCCATAAAAAAAAAGATAGAAAGAATTCTTTTTCAGTCAGTCACTTGTTTTATAATCTGCTATTATACCTTTCGCTACTCCAGCTAATTAAATATATTGCAGCAAAATGTCTCAAAAAGGACAAACTATTTTGTTTCACAGCCGTCATTGAATAGACGACCCAATTTTGGGTTTACGACTACTAATGTTCAACTCAGCAGCCTTGCAATTTTGAACCCAATCCAGAAGAACAGGAAACTCCCGGATCAGTACCCCCAGAAGTATTGCTTTGTTATGGGAACATGGAGGACTATGTGACTCGACAGATTTAACATGCATTAGTCACCATTTACTACACGGGAGTCTTCGGCCGGCGGAGATCGAACCCACGAACTCTTGGACACGGGTCCAGTGTCCTACCGACCAGGCTATCCCGGCCTAAGGACAAACTATTCACTCAAAAGAGAGAAATACCATCAAATTTATGAAATATTTAATGTTAAGGAAAATACACATAAAGATTGCGGAATAAATATTTTTGCCATATGATTGCCAAATCGCAACCTTTTTCAGTGTTGTTCACATCTTTCTCCAAAAAATAGCGAAATAGTATCGTCGGATACCACGTGATGAAGGCTGAGGCAAGTGCCAACTCACAGTGAACGAACTATACCAGGGGTTTCCAACTGGTGGCCCTCGAAGCCTTTTTTTGTGGCCCGCGAACTAAAATATATATGTTTTCATAACGGACAGTTTTCGTAAAAAATCTATAAGTGCTTAAAATACTTTTCTCGTTTAAACAAACAAAAAAAAAAAAAAAAAAANTTTCTCTTTTATTATTTCATTTTCTTTTATTTTGTGAATATAATTTAGCATGTGCGTATCAGAAATTCTCCAATTTAGCTTTTTGAAACCACTCATTTTGGACGAAATTATTTACATTTGTAAATTTTAAAGTGCATAAAAGAGGGAATGAATATCATGCTTTATCTAAATTCCGAGAATTGAATATCGCATGAGCGGAAAGAAAAAAAAAATTAATTTCTGATGCTCGAGAATTTTTTTAGTTGTTGCTATAATTCCTAATAAGTCGAAAATTTTTTAATTTATCACAGAATTAAATTTGAAAGTAAAAAAAATCTTGTCACTAAGTTCCATATTAAGAGAAGATTCAAAATGAGACGTAACAAGCATTATTTGTAATGCTTGTTATTTATTATTTTTTTTTTAATACTGAAAAAACTTTGAATACAAATTTGACAGCAATATTTAATGTTCCTTCAAACATAAAAGAGTCCTATATAAAATTTTGATAAAGTTGTGGCCCGCCATTTGACTGCTGTTTTTAATTGCGGCCCCCGGCCTCATGTAAGTTAGAAACCCCTGAACTATACTAAACTTCCTTTGGAAGAAGTAAAAAAAAAAAAACTCTATTAGAAAGCAGCTGACTATCAATATCATATTAGAAAGGAAAAAAAGAGCCAAGAAAATGAAAGAAGAATACCTTCTTTTTTCATGCCAGCCCGAAAGCACTTCTTCAATCTGCAGTATCGACACTGGTTCCTCTTGTCCTTATCCATGACGCAACTTCGGGTGAAGCGGCATGTGTAGACGTGGTTTTTGCGAACGCTTCTCCTGAAGAAACCTTTGCAGCCGTCACAAGAGGACGCTCCGTAGTGTTTGCCTGTCGCCCTGTCCCCACAAATGGCACACAACTGCTGCTGTTGAGGATGAAGACCGCTGTTTACACGCTGTTTTGAATCTGCTGCTGAAAAAAAAGAGGGGTCTCTTTCAAATCAGTATGAAAACTTCGACTGCTTCCCTTATCCATTTTTTTTTTTGGAAAAAAAAATTCAAAAAATCGACATATTTGTTTATTTTATTAATAAGTACAAGGAATTAAAACATAATACGCAAGTTTTAAGTTGAAATTTTAATTTTTTTTATGTGCAAAAAAATATTTAATTTGCCATTACTATCCCAAATTAGTTCGGGCAATTGAAAAAAGTTAGATATTAGTCTTTGTATGATAGTGTTTAAAATGAGGCAAAGTAAATCATTCCGAACGAAAGTGAAGTGACACGAAAGTTTTTTTAAAAAAAATTTTTCTATGTAAATTCAGCAACCATCGTATATACAATCGTTCAAAACGTGTACGCAGTTCAAAATAATCCTTCAAAACGTGTACGCAGTTCAAAATAATCCTTCAAAACGTGTAAGCAGTTCAAAATAATCCTTCAAAAACATGTACGCAGTTCAAAATAATCCTTCAAAACATGTACGCAGTTCAAAATAATCCTTCAAAACAAGTACGCAGTTCAAAATAATCCTTCAAAACATGTACAATCCAACAGCAAAACTCCAAAACAAATTTGTTTTGCTTCCGGCCGCATAAAAATGCAATAAAACAAAACGTATTGACAAATTCTGCAACACCCGAGTTTTCTCCGGATAATAAATATTTGCATATATCCGAGTTAACTCCGGATAATCAGGAAAGCGGTTAATCGGACCTTATGGCCGAAGAATTAGAAATCTTCCTTTTGCACCGATGATCACATCCCGCATCTATTCCACAAGATTCTGGAGATAAACCTATTTGATTGATGTCCATACACAACAAAATGTTCCCTTTTTGTTGAGAACGAGTCAGGAAAAATATTGGAAATATTGATTGATTGATATCTGGCATTATTGGGTATAAAGATTGTGGGTTTCATCAGCAATGTGTTCAATTCTCTGAATGTCATTTTTCTAGACACCACTGCAAACAAACTCTGGCATTTCCCGCAGAAATGAGAGGATTTCCATCCTCTACGACTCGCTTATGCACACACGGTTCAAGCAACAATTGGTTGTGAAGAACCATGGTTAAAGGTTTTTATTGTCTGAAGCACAGCTGAGGGTTTTTTCAACCGTAAAATTTGACCTATCTATGGCCTTGCTTGTTTTTTTTAGATAATGACTGTAAGCTCTGTTTCTAACATAAAAGAACCTTTCATGTGGCTACTTTTGAAAATCAAGTGACTTCTGTGATTTTCGCTGAACGGCCGCCAACAATATAAACCTATTTCTAATCGTAAAAGAGTTTATTGTAAAATTATACTAATTAGGCATGCACCCACGTCATGCCCTCTAACACATCAGGGGATAGAACGTACTCCTTTCAATGAGGTGAACCGGGTTCGAATCCCAGCAACGGCTGGTGGATACGAATTCCGCGTCTGGCTTGCACCGACCACAGTGCTGGTGTAAAATATCTTCAGTGGTAGGCGGATCATGGGTTAGAGTCCCCTTGCCGTCAGGCTAATAGTGGGTGGTCCTCATGGTCTTCCTCTTCATATAACGCAAATGTGATTTAGTTCTATCACGAAGACAAAATTCCCCAAAAAACAAAGTTGAACAGTGGTAATCGTAAACTCGAAAAATGGGGTCGGCTGCTAAACGACGGTTATAAAATAAAATAGAAAATCACAGTCATATAAAAAATTATTACTATTTTTGCGTAAAAATGCTTTTGCAACTTTTGATTCAAAGTTTAATTTGATTCAAAGTTAACAATTTGATTCAACGTAAAAAAAAATATAGAGAGAAAACTATGTTTAGATAGCAATGCGCAAATAAGTACAGTTACAAAATGTACTTTTTGTACCATAAAACCTTTTAAGCTATTAGTCCGACCGTCTCGGTATTGATCTCAGTTAAAGCCACAAAACGAAGCCTCACTAGCCTCAAAATTCCATTCTCCTCCTCAAATCATCCTCATTTCCCAGCAAAAAAGAGGGAGAATACAGGGGAAGGGTTTCTAGGTGTCATTATAACAAATCCTTTTGTCAAAAAAATATTTTGGACATTCATTTTTCTAAAGAAACACCACTTTTTTAAACTAATGACTGGACTATAAGGAAAATTCACTCCATCGTGGCAAATGAGTCAAAGTATTTAAGATCAAACTTTCAGCCAAAAATCAAAAGTTAATACATATATTAAAAAAATATATATACATTTTTAAAACTGGCCATTTTGGTGCTGGCTAAATGCATATTTTTAATATTTATGAGTTGTATTTCCATTAGCTAATTCCATTTCTACGGAATGCAATAAAAGTAGCAAGATGACGGCTTTATTTTGAACTACACATAAGGTCAAAAAGTTAATACCTGCTCAAGATTTATTGAACAGGCAAACATCAGACTCCAAAAAATAGGATCCAATTGGGTACTTTAACTCCAAGAAGTAGAAGACAACCAATACCTATGACGTCATTACCAGCTGATCTTCATCAGCAATAAAGTTCAGCAAAGTTTCGTTATATATACTAAGCTAAGTTTCTCTACTTAAAATTTTAATTAACGTTAAGATAATTAAATATGGAGCCATGTAGCACATCGAATTTGTTGAAAACATAATTCTTCCAAGTCTACTTATTTTACTTAACTTAGATTTATTATTTATTTATGTATTTAATTGTAACCGTGATATATTTTTGTTTTGTGTACCTGGCAACTTCGATGGATAATAAGTTTATGTTTTACATGGCTTTCAATCGCATAAAAATTAACAGACATTTCAATCGAAAAACATAAAATTAAAAATTTTGACATCAAAGAACATTTTACTGTCGAAATGAAAGAAAAAAAATAAAATAAAATTTGTTGAAATTTAGTTATAATTTTTCATGAGCTAGTATCATTTTTTTAATATTTGAAAAATCATCAGTAATTGCTTGCGTCAGGAAAAAAAAATTAGAAGTGTCATTTAAATAGGACTCTGAAGCATCGCCCAAATTTTTTGACCAACAATTAATAACTAATGATTTTTCAAGTATTTAATTTCATTTCTCATCGACGCTGTTTTATTTTAAAAATAATTATGTTTAAAAATATAATAGTCCATAATTTGAAAAAATCGTGAAAAAAAAAATATTAAGGAAGAAAAATAATTTGTACTCGGATTAGAGAGTATATTTGTATGTTACACAATGCCAGTAGTATATTGGAATATTATCATGCAGTTCTCGTTCGAGATTGCTCTCTGGGATAAGAATTTTTGCTTTCATGCAGATAAAATTCAATTTTTTTTAAAAGAAAAAAAAGAAAAGGTTCAAGAAGAAAAAAAGAAATATGTGGTGGACTTTTGATCAGCGCTAATGGACCAAAAGCTCTAAATTCTTTAAGGCTTGGCGTGATTTAAATCAAAAATTATTTTTTAGAATAATTTATAAAAATATGACACACAAGTTTTTTTGTTATCTTTTTGTAGAATATATTATAAAAGTATAAAAGTTTCGTTTTTTATTTAAAAGCCTAATTTCATTGATGTTGAAGGTTTTTATGCAGAGAAATAAGGATAGAGGATAGAGAAATAAATTATTAATTAATGACAAAATGTCTTAACAAATACATGAGCTTGAATAAAAAGCTTTCCTTTTTTCTTCAGTTTGTGATAATATTTGTAAACAAATTTTTTTATAGATATGTTGAGTTTTTTTATTCATATGACAGTTTTAAAATTTTCTTAAGCATTATTAATATAATTTCTCAGAGCTTTGATAAATGTTTTAAATAGTTACCATGTTTTAGTATAACTGAAAAAATTAATAAGTAAATCAAAACAGTATGATTTAAATTTTTTAAAAAAATCTGATTTTTTTCTAATCATGAATTTTGCTTTGCCACTTATTATGCATTATTAACTACCCACTCTTTTTAATTTAAATCAAATTTATACGGACAAACTATTATTTGATTTTGATTACGTTACATAGCTGTAAGTAAGCGAACCGCGGAATAAAAATATTTCAAATTAAAAAGAAAAATTCTCAAAATTATCACTTCTTGTATACCAAAGCAAAAGTTAATCACACAATAAAAACAATCTTCTTTTCACATCTGCTAACACATTTTGATCAGACGACCGACCCAGTATGTAAAAAACTATACATTATATAATAAATCATTGATCAAAAATAAAGCAAGAATTTAAATTTCATGGTATTTCTTAAACGTCCTTTAAGTAACTTAAAAATTAGAGAAAATAGTTATCGAAATATAAGATTCATTATTAAAAACTTATCAAATTGTCTTTTCAAATTGAAAAAATTTCAATGTTCTTTTCCGAAAAGACACGATTTATTTCCGTCTTTATTTATTTACAAATTTAATAATCGTGTAAACACTTCACATAGCATCCCCCCCCCAACAAAATACTTCAAAAATGGCAAAGCACTTTTACACATTATTGCCGTACTCTACTAAAAAAAAAGAAGGTAATTGCTTTATGAAAGAGTTGCACTTTCGACAGGGATTCATGTAAGACGTATCAAAAGCATGTTTCTAGAAAACTTATCTAAAAATAAACTCAAATAAAATCTAAAAATAGCTCTTATCACTTCTTTTTAAATGATGAAATAAATGATAACAAAAGTGAAAGACCCATACTCATTTAAAAAAAAAAGGAAAGAAAAAGCCTACTCAAGAGAAAAAAATATATATAAATAAATGAATAAAAAATAAAATAGGGCCTCTCATTTAAATTCTCGAGTAAATTTGCCTTCCGAAGCAGCGTGCGGAGTTTTGATAAACAGTCGACATAATACCTAGAGGCCCATTCTCTAAGCAGGCGATTAAGTATTTGTAATGGCTTCACAATAATACAAACACGTAATTCCTGCGTCTCTTCTATTCTCTCTGTTTCTTTATTTTACTATTGGTGTAGCTAAAAATAGGCAAAGCGTTTTCCGACAGAAAAAATACGTTAAAAGAT